CACACACACACACACACACACACACACACACACACACACACACACACACACACAGACTTGCACGGGGTTTCGAAGCGTTTTTTTTTTTTCGTTTTCTTTTTTTTCTTTGTATTTTTTTTTACACAATAGAAAACAGCAATGCCCCGAAAAAAAATATGGCCGTGTAGGGTTTTTTTAGCCCTGCACGCCCATATTTTTTATTTTTTTTTCATGCGTTAAAAAAAAAATCCTGCACCAAACTAGGCCGTTCGGCTGTGGATGAACCTGGCCGATTCGGCCGTCGGCCGTGGCTGCGGCCGAGTTTTTGGCCCCGGCCGTGACCGGGCGTGCAATATAGCCTGTGTGCTCACGTGCAATTCTACTCAACTCCAAAACGCTCATCCAGCAGCACCAACGCGCCAATAGCATGAGAGGAGCGTGATCAGTCGATCCGTTGTCCCAAACACAGGCAGAGCACCCCAAATGTCGATGCTAAACACCCCAACCTTCCATTCCGCCGTCGATCAGGCATACACCAAGCACTTCAATCAGCGTCACCAAGCTCAGTCAAAATCCTCCCCCAACTCTTGGGTTTCGTACTAAAACCAGGGGTCTCCTTATTGGTTGATAATTCTGTTATAACAGCGATGTCCAGATCCCACCCGCTGACTGTCCCCACATCACTCTCCTATCCCTCCACAGTCAACCAGGATTACTGATCCCTGTCAGCCGGGACTGGCCCATGGCAGAAGCATGGCAGTGCCCCTCTGCATGTGGCCCCCGTAGCGCCCTCGCGCCTTCCTCCCCCACGCGCCTCCACCCCACCAAAAAGTTCTGGCACAGCGCCACCTTCGTTGCGGGGACACCAATGCGATCCCCCGCTGCCCAGACGCCACCCCCCCTGGCGGCACTAACACTGTGTTATAGCTAACATGCCGCCAGCACCGCCAGAAGGTGATGCGTCAGTGCTATGCTAACGCAGCGCAAATGCGCCGCCCCTCTTTACCAAACTTAAAATTGAAAAAAAGTTAAATTTTAATTTCAATTTTTTTATTTTTGCCCCGGACCACTCTGGTGGCCTAGGCATAAGCCGCATAACATAGTTTTTTTTCAGAGTTTTTTTTTTTTTTTTTTTTTTTTTGCTTGGACCTTCACTGATCCTTGCACACGCTGGTAAGTGATTTGGTGCCGCATTCAACTCATGCATGCAACATAGCTGTTCACTCAACATGAACACAGTGATAAAAACAAACGCATTTCGTTCATCAATCGTAACTCGTACATGGTAAATGCCGACAGAAAGAATACAATCAGCCACTACGACATTGCCAAGTACGTACATGCGCGAGAGACGCGTGCTACGCCCCACACACACTACGCCTACGATGTGACGTTTGGAAGGACTTATTTCCTACACTGCTCAGCTATTAATACCTACAGCAGTTGTTTCAGTTGTTCGTCACTTGAAAAAGTCTTTAAGTCTTTTTCTACTGAGGTACCAAGCTACCCTCGTAGGACAGATTCATACACCATTTCAGATCTGACTGACCGCCACACAGTTCAGACAGGACAAAAAGACAAAAAAGAAATCACTAGAGTTTCTAGTAACTTTCTACCCAATTTTACTCGGAAAGTCCAGTGTTCAAACTCCTACTGCATCTCCAACGTCAGACTTCTTGCCACTTCAGTCCAGGGGGGCAAGTGTTATTCGGAATGACTAGGCGTAAAGGGCATGCAGGCGGTGAATTAGGCGCGAAGCGGTGAAAGTCGCCAGCTCAACTGGTGGAATGCCTTCAAAACCGGTTCACTGGAGTAAGATAAAGGAAAGTGGGATTTTTAGTGTAGAGATAAAATTCATAGATATTAGAAGGAACACCAGTTTGGCGCACGGAACGAAGCACCACCACGCAGTTCAGAAAAGACAAAAAACAAAAGGAATAACAAGAGCCTCTACCTAATTTTTACTCGGAAGGTCACGTGTTCCAACTCCTTTTTGCCATTTCAGTCCAATTCGGCGCACTGGCGAACGAAGCGCCACAGCGTTTGGTCAAAATAGCCTTCCGGGAAGTTCTGCGTTCGCAATTTGCGTTTCAGCGATAGCAGACCTTCCTCCGCAAGCTCAGCGGAGGTCGTGCACTCCTTTATTTTGTGCATCACCCCGTTGATCAACGTCCTGTTTTGTTTGACACAGGTGTACAAGGAAAAATCCTGAAAACACTTGCACTTGAGACTTCCACCACTATCCCATATTTCGGCGAAGTTCTTTGCCCGATACCAACTTGAGACTTTCCCTTCCCCAATTCTCACTCGACATCCCAGAAAGCTCCACTCGTTGGAACCTTCATCCGTTCTTTTCAAAGTCAGTTTCGAATCGTATGAGTTCTCGAATCTGCTTACGATCTCCTTTTGCCTTACCTCTGCATTTCCTTCCCCATCATTGCCACACGAACAAAGATACGTCATCCACCAAACGAATTCCCTTCATGAGCTTTGTATCCTTCCCTAAGCTTTGTAGAAAGGGGGCTACTCGACTTCCCTATCGGTATCCCCTCTATCTGCCTGATCAACCTATCTGAAGCGTGCAGGTAAGAATTCTCCAAACCGAACTCTACCATTAACTTGATCAGGTCAAATTCAACTTTCGCCCACCCTTCCTCTTCTTTCATCTTGCCAAAGGTAGCACCCTTCCCCCTTCTTCTTACCCTTTCGAACTTCTTACCCTCCAATTTGGAGTAAGACAGGATCCAATCAATCGCCTGTCTTATCGATTTGTGGGGCAGCCTACTGAACATCTCTTTGATATCGTAGGCTGCACCCACTACTTCTCCATTCATCTTCTTCTGTGACCACTTATTAGCGTCTTCGATTCTTGGTTCAACAAACTTGTAGCCTTCAGGTTGAAGTGACTGTTCCTCGGCAGTGAGAACGACAAGAAGTTTAGGGCCTTCGCGATGCTTTGGTTGGCCATCTTCGCTGGCTCAGAAAATGATGGGGAGAT